CTTATCTTCTTAAATTTAGTTTTTTTTTTTAATTTTAAGATCTTATTTATTTTTGTTTTATGTGTGGAGGTTATTTGCCTACCTGTATGTCTATGTGTCCATGCAGTGCCTATGACGTCCAGAAGAGGGCACCAGATTCTTTGAAACTGGAGTTAATGGTTGTGAGCCATCCTATAGATTACCGAGACTTGATCCCTGGTCCTATGGAAGAGCAGCAAGTGCTCTTAAACACTGAGCTAGCCCCCAACCTTTATTCTCTTGCCTTAGTCTTCCAGGTCCTGTGATTATAAGCCTACAGCGCTGCACCTGACTGAGACTCAAATTGTCAATTGGGCTATTTAAACTAAAGCATTTCTCTATTCCAGATCAAAAAGCTCAAGGCTGATACCTCCATGTGTGCCGTGCTGTGCATGCCCATAAGCATTCATATACACCCACAAATAAGTAAGTGTAATTTTTATTTTAAGTTTGAAAAATTGGTCCAGAAAAAGCCCCACCAGCATGACAATGAATACAGAGAAGGTGACAATGTTTTTAAGAACCGCAGCAAGATGAGTCCAGTCTATATGGCAAATGCTCGCTATCCTAAGAGCTAATGGTTAGGCTTTCCTGTATTCTCCTGGACCAAGTGTTCTTACCCTTTTCTGAGAAAACATCTCATGTGGTCCAGGCTGGATTTGTTTCTGAGCCTCCTGCTCCACCTCCCACATGCGATGGATTTGGTGTGTGCCATCAAGCCCTGTTTATGTGTTACTGGGATCTAATCCAGAGTGTTGTATACACCAGCCCTCCACTGACAAAGCAAAGTCCCCAGTCTCTAGACCAATTGCTTTTTGTAACTAACGCTTCCTTCCTTGCCAGCAAGGCCTGCAGCAGTCTGACTTGCAGCTTTACTCTTTTACTGAGCCTGCAAATGATCAGAAGATGAAGTAGCTTCTCAGTCAAGAAGTACTCCTCATGCCTGCGATGCTCTGTGGCCTTCTCTCTGATGGTTCACCTGATTGTAGCGGTGTACACTTGGTCTCCTTGCAAGGGCACATGGCAAACATTTTACGTGTAGTATAAAACAAATGTCTATGAGGTAGCATGATACCTTATGTCCATGCATTTTATGCTGTAGTTGTGGTTTAGCCCTGCTATTGGAACCAGGTTTCCCGGAGTTCGAATCCAAGCCTGCCTGGTCTGAACTTTGTTATATTGCTCCCTCCCTCCATCCTTCCATCTTTCTCTCTTCATTCTTCCCTCTCGCCTTTTCTTCTTTCCTCATCACTGTGCATCCCAGGCTGTCCAGGAACTCATTAGGTACCCCAGGCTGTCCAGGAACTCATTATGTACCCCAGGCTGTCCAGGAACTCATTATGTACCCCAGGCTGTCCAGGAACTCATTATGTACCCCAGGCTGTCCAGGAACTCATTATGTACCCCAGGCTGTCCAGGAACTCATTATGTACCCCAGGCTGTCCAGGAACTCATTAGGTACCCCAGGCTGTCCAGGAACTCATTAGGTATCCTAGGCTGGTCTTGAACTGCCCCAGCCTCCCAAGGGCTTCCCAGCACTTCCAACAGGAGTGTTCCCAGGCCCAGCTACAAGAGCATCTTATCTCTCACAAGGGAAACATCTGCTTCTCTTTCATTGTTTTGCTGTCCAAACTCATCTCTGACTTTAGCAAATCTGAAGACTTACAAGCATCTCTGTTGTGGCTTATGTGCATTTCTCCAGTTCTGGTAGAGGACTGGGGTTTGACTTCCAGCACCCATGTTCGGTGGTTCACAACCAACTGTAGCTCCAGCTCCAGGGGCTCTGATGTCCTCTTCTGGCTTTGGTGGGCACCTACACTCAACACACCACACACACACACACACACACACACACACACACACACACACACACACGCATGTACATGCACACGATTAAAAATAAGCATAAAAATATGATAATGACTGAGGCATTTTCTAGACACTTTTTGTGTGTAAATTTAATGGAAATGTTCTATATGATCTTCCATCCTAAAAGACAGGTTTTGCTTGGTTGGCTGGTTTAGTTTTCTTCTTTTGGAGGGGGTATGTTTGGTCCTATCTATCTATCTATCTATCTATCTATCTATCTATCTATCTATTTATCTATCTATCTATCTATCTATCTATCTATCTATCTATCTATCTATCTACTTACCTACTTATTTATTTTGGATGCACAGTCTTATCTGTAGCCCCGACAGGCTGAGAACTTATCATGTTGCCCAAGTTAACTTAAAGCTCAAGACTTCTGCCTCAGCTTCCCAAACTCCGGGGTTACAGGCGCGAGCCACCACACCCAGCCCCAAGTCTTCTAATAAGCTCTGACTGCAAGACAAAAAAACCATGGTCGTGCCAGATTTGTTATTTTCAAGTTTTTTTTTTTCTTTTCTGGTGGTGTTGAAGGTGGTCAAATTCTTTTTTTAAAGAATAGAATATCTTCTATTTATTCTTTTATGATTCAAACATTAAAACAATGTATCTTTATTGTAGGTGTAGCCCAGGTTGGTCTTGCTTTAGACTCACGATCCTCCTGCCTCTGCCTCTTGGGCACATCCTGCAGACATGAACCACTACAACCTGCCAAATTCTTTAATAACCTCAAAATTCTTTTTTTTAAAAAGTAAGGATGGCCAGTTGGTGGCGGTGCACACCTTTAATTTCAGCACTCAGGAGACAGAGGCAAGCAGATCTCTGAGTTGAAGCCTGGTCTACAGAGTGAGTTCCAGGACAACCAGGTCTACACAGAGAAACCCTGTCTCAGAAAAAAGCAAAAGACAGAAACACAGACAGGAAAAAGCTGAAAAAAAGGTGCTTGTCTCCAAGCACACAGTGGAAGGAAGACAAACTCTAGCACGTTCTTTAACTTCTCCATGAGTCTGGTGACACGTGTGTCTCATACACACACGCGTGAACACACACAAAATAGACATATTAAAAAACTATTCTTTAGGTTCATACATGCATATGATATTATTTCAATTATACAATTTCAATAATACAATTTCAATTATATCTTCCCTCTATGCTATCGGCTTAAAATTGCATGCAAGATCGAGAAATAAATGAACATTTCCATTTTGAAATAAAAGAACCTACAATTAGTATTTTACATTTACTTTTATAACCTTAAATGGATATTGCTCATAAAAACACACTTATATTTATTAGCCTTAAATTAAAACAGCATACAATGAGAGCAATTAATAGTTTATAGGTTTTTTCCCTTTACTCTGAAAAGCTAGTCAATGCAATTGATCTTCTTCTTCTTTTTTTTTAAAGACAGGGTTTCTAAACCAGACTAGAATCACAATCATAGAGATCCTTCTGCTTTTGCCTCCTGAGTGCTGGGATTAAAGGAGTGTGCCACCATGCCTTCTTCCTTCCTTCCCCCCACCCCAAGACAGGGTCTACTATAGCCCAGACTGGTCTTAAGTTCCCAATTCTACTGCTTCAGCATCTACAGTGCTAGGATTAAAAGTATGTTTGTTGCACTCAGCCCGATTTGCAGTAGTATTTACTTGAGACAGGTCTCCTGTAGTGCAGGGTGTCCTCAAACTGTGTAGCCTCAAGTAACCTTGAACTTTTCCATCCTCCTGCCTCTCCTGCTCCACTTGAGTCTGATAGTATGTGTGTGTGTGATGGCATGCGTGTATGATATGCATGTGTAATGGTGTGTGTGTGGGATGGCATGTGTGTATGAGGGTATGAGTGTATGATGGCATGTGTGTGTGTGTGTGACAGTATGTGTGTGCGATAGCATGCATGGACATGTACCAGTGTTGCGGTGTTAGGTGTTTTGCCATCATTTCTCACTTTACTCAGTGTTGGTGATCAGCCTAAAGCTTTGCTCACAATCGGCAAGCTCTCTACTAACGGAGCTGCATCCTCAGTCTTTAAAAAAGCAGTTTCCTGGGGCCGGGAGAAGTGGCTCAGAGGTTAAGAGGCTGATCTTCCAGAGGCCCTGAGTTTTTTAATTTCCAGCAACTACCTGGTGGCTCACAACTATCTGTAATAAGATCCGGTGCCCTCTTCTGGCCTGCAGGCAAACATGCAGGCAGAATACTATATATATAAAAATTAATAATAATAATAAAAAAACACTTAATACATTTTAAAAGAAAGTCATTTTCTTGAGCCAGTGAGATGGCTCAGCAGGTAGAGGAGCTGTTGCCAAGCCTGACAGCCTTGCTTTGATTCCTAGGCCCCACATTGGTAGAAGGAAGGAGGCTTTTGGAAGTTGTCCTCTGAGCTCCCCAGACTACCATCACAAAGAGAAACCTGTCCACACTCAATACACACATAAATATAATATTAAGGAAGTCATTTTCTTTTTAATAGATGTAAGAAGAATAATGTGCAATAAGGTCACTCCCGTGTACATGTCATTAAAACAGCATCGAAATTGTCTGGGTATATGAAAGGGACGCTGAAGGGAGAGGAAGAGGAGACTACACGTGCAAATAAAGTCAATACATGGAATGTACATGTAGGAAAATATAGTGACCGTACATGACGTACATATGTGTAAATATAGTCAAGGTACACGACGTGTTTGTATGCAAATGTCTTTATGAACCCCATCACCATGTATAATGAATATTATGAGAATAAAATATCACGGAGAGAAAGGTGGGAGATTGTTATGCGGACAGGCTTGTGTGCTTCGACGCTGTCTGTTGCCATTTATATTACTTTCTTGTCAAAGAAAATGCAGGAAGAACAGTCTCGAGTCCCTAACAGCCATCCAAGGGATGTTACGACAACTCCGGCTGGCGTAGTTATGCCCAGCTGCCGCACTACCGCCATGCTGAAGTTGTTTTAGGGTGGTCCGGCATCTCAGCTTTAACTCTTCTTCCAGTAGAACCAACGAAATCTGAATTTTCTATACGGGAGAAACAAACACAGTATAGTAAGAACGGCTATTCCACACATCAATTTACCTATGCTGATGTTTTACTTATTTTTCTAAGTTATTCTTAATTCTTATTTGTGTTTTACGTGGGTGATTTACCAGCATGTATGTCTGTGCACATGGGTGTAGTGCCTACGGAGGCCAGAGGCATTGCATCCCTTGGGAGTGAGGTTACAGGTGGTTCTGTGCCAGCTTGGTCCTCGCGAGAGCAACCAGTTCTCTTAACGCCTGTGCCATCTCCCTGGCCTCTACCAATGTTAACTTAGCAAGCAGTAATCAAAGTTTATTTCAACAAGGGAGAAGGTGAAAAAGCAGAAGGTGAGGGAGGGTGCTCCCCAGACGTTTAAATTTTCTTCTACTTCTCTTCCCTTTTCTTCTTCTGAGTCATGAGTCGGGTATTGTGACCCACACCTTAATCCCAGTAGGGATTTATAATGCAGGGCCCCTAGGTACCCTGATACCAAGAAGGCAATGTTGGGCCGGGAGCCCTCTTCCCTAATTTACCTTCTGACTTCTGCCTCTCATGCCAAGTACACTCTTTCTCACCCCTCACTGCCTCCAGCAAGAGGCTGCTCATTTCATCCCATGGTTGTCCCCACAGACCCTGAGAACTCTGGGTACGGTGCAGGAGGACACTTATACCCAGCACTGAGAAGTGGGACTGGAGGTTTACAGGGGCTTCTGTCAGCCAGTCTAACCCAACTGATGACCTCCAAGCCAGCGAGCACCCATCTCTGCATCTCAAAGGAGTTTCAGTGCTCCGGAAGATGACACATTAGGCTGGCTGTTCTCCAGCCTCCACACACACATGTAGGAATGTGCTTGTGCACACACATACGCAAACGCAAACATACACATCACACATACACATACACACACACACACTCATTTTTAATTTTTTGCTTTGTTTTTCCAGACAGGGTTTCTCTGTGTGTTTCTCTTTGAACTCACAGAGATCTGCCTACCTCTGCCTCCCTGAGTGCTGGGATTAAAGGTATGTGCCACCACTGCCCAGCTACTTAAAATTTTTTTAAAGCCTAATCAAGATACAGTAGTAATGTGGCTGGCATTGTAACATCTTTTATCTCCCACTCTGGAGGCCAAAACAAGCAGATTTCTGTGAGCTGGAGGTCAGCATGGTCCAAATAGCGAGTTCTAGCACAGCCAGGGTTACCTATGTAGAGAGACTCTGTCTCAATAGCAAGAAGGAGGAAGAAAAGACAGGTAAACAGACAGGCAGGCAGGAGGAAGGCAGGAGGCAGGCAGGAGGCAGGAAGGCAGGAAGGCAGGAGGCAGGCAGGAAGGAAGGCAGGAAGGCAGGAGGCAGGCAGGAAGGCAGGAGGCAGGCAGACAGGCAGGAAGGCAGGAGGCAGGCAGGAAGGCAGGAAGGCAGGCAGGCAGGAGGCAGGAGGCAGGCAGGCAGGAAGGCAGGAGGCAGGCAGGCAGGAAGGCAGGAAGGCAGGAGGCAGGAAGGCAGGAGGCAGGAGGCAGGCAGGCCTTGTGAAAATGCGACTGCTTCTCCCTCAGAGCACTTTATCGTTGCTTATTTTATCAGCACAGTTCCTATGTCTCTTCAAAAGTATGACGTTAAACTACTAGGAACATTTCTTAATTTAATAATCTTAATTTGCTTTCATTAATCTCAATTATTTCTTTTAATGTTTTAGAGGTAAATTTGTTTTGTTCTGTTTTGTTTTTATCATCCAAAACAGGTATTTACTGCAGACCAATGGAAAATTATCAAAATAAAAATGTTAATTTTTTAAAAATTATTTTATGTGTGTGTGTGTGAGAGAGAGAGAGAGAGAGAGAGAGAGAGAGAGAGAGAGAGAGAGAGAGAGAGATCAAGTGTTTGGAGAGCCAGAAGGACTTCAGATGCCCTGGAGCTTGAGCCCATGTGATGCTGAGGATGGGTGAGAAACTGGGGTCTGGCAACAACATTGACTGTTCTCAGCCCTGAGCGGCCGATTCTCCAGTTCCTAAAAACGTTAATTTTGAACATTTTATTCACTAGACAAAAATGGTCTCTCGATATCTTTTGTTTTTAAAAACGTTACATTTATCTTTTATTTGGAATTTATAGTGGACTTGTGCACAGGTGGGGAGGTCAGGAGACAGCCTGTGGGAGTCTGTTCTCTCTTTCCAACATGTGGGTCCTGGGATTGAGCTCTGGCCGGCAGGGCTGGCAGCACAGGCCTTTACCTGCTGAGCCATCTCCAGGGCAGGAAGTGTACAGATGCACTCTAGCATTCAAGGCAGAAAGCCCCTGCTCAGGGATCAGAGGACCAGAGAAAATGAGGAGGCGTTTTGTTCTGGTGTCTGGGAAGGGGGCTTTGCGTTTGTTTATTTTAGACTGACTGAGTCTCCCTATTTCACTAGGTAGCCTAGGCTGACCCGAAACTCTCAGTCCTGTCTAGGTTTGTTTGTTTTTGTTGTTTTGAGATAGGCCTTGAACTCTCCATATAGATCAGGCTGATCCGCAGCTCTCAAAGTCAATCTGGCCTTTTTTTAAAAAAGGTTTTTGGGACAGGGTCTCTCTACATAGTCAGGCTGTCTTGGAAGTCACTCTGTAGATCAGGCTGTCCTAAAAGTCACAGAGACCCACCTGCCTCTGCTTCTGAGTGCTGTGATTAAAAACATGCAAAACAATGCCTGTCTTGCTTGCTTGCTTCTCTACTAGATATATCTTTTGTAGCCCAGGCTTTCCTTGAATTCCTCATGTACCTAAAGATGGCTTTGAATTATGGATCTCCATGTCTCTACCTCCCAAATTTAGGATTACAGGCCTATGGCACAGCCATGCCCAACAGGAAGGGATTTTTATAGACTAGTCAGTTAACTAAATTCTTCAGTGAAATCAGAGTAAAAGCTTGGTGCGGCACACTTGGAACCTCTAATGCAGCCACGCTGAATGCAGAGGTGGGACAGATACAAGTTCTAGTCAGCCTGACCTGGCGAGTTCCAGGCCAACTAGAGCTACTCAAGAAGACGCTGAAACAAAATTCAAAGCAACACAACAAGGAAACATAGGACTGAAACTCGCCAAATTCATTTAGGAAGAAAGGTGACTGACGCCAGCTAAAAACCTTTCATTTTGTCTGTTTGGGGCACGTATGTAGAGGCCAGAGGACGACCAGACGGAATCTGGTTTCCTCCTTCCACCTGGCGGGTCTTACCCACCCGGTGAGAACCATTTACAGGGAACTGAACAGATTAGAGAAGGCTGCCAAAGAATGAACCGAAAAGGATGACTGCTGACCAGTCATGGGCTGCTGAGAGCACAGAAGCGTGCCAGTGCAGTGTTGCAGGATGCAGGCTTGTTAGCGTGTAAACCTCCACGCTCACATCCAGCCCGAAGAAAGAGAATCAAGGCTGACAACGGGAGAGGCACCCAAGGCAAGATGTTTTCCATGGCACCAAAGAGAGGGTAAGGCTGAGCAGGATGCAGGGAACTGGGTGGGATTAAAGGTCATCTGATGTTTTTTTTGTTGTTGTTGTTGTTTTTGTGAGATAAGATGTAAAACTAGATCCAAAAAGGTGTAAGAATTGGAAATTTAAAGGGAGAGAGGTGAGGGGGAGGGGAGTTAGAAACAGTTCTTGTTTGCGGGCAAAGCTGCAGCTGGACCAGGGAAACAACAGCTTGCCAAACACAACAGATCAGAGATGAACTTGAATGTTTCGACCTGACTTTGTGGAATTCTCCAGCTGCGGTAACATTCCGCACATTTGTGCCCGGTACTAACACAGCTCACCTGTTTTCAATGGGTGACTAATTAAAAAATGACCAAGACACATAGGAGTTGGATACAGTGCTGCAGACAACCTGAGCCTGAGGCAGGAGCATCACCAGAACCCAGGAACTGAAGGTCAGCTGAGCAAGAAAAGAAACAGAAGGGCTGGAGAGAAGGCTCAGTGGCTAAGAGCACTGGCTGCTCTTCCAGAGGTCATGAGTTCGATTCCCAGCAACCACATGGTGGCTCACAACCATCTGTAATGGGGTCTGGTGCCCTCTTCTGGCATGTGGGCATACATGGAGGCAGAATATTGTATACATAATAAATAAAAAAATATGAACATCACCTGCTGACCTTTAAAAAAAAAACAGAAGGAGAGGTGGGTGAATGCATGTAAACCGTGGCACTTGCGGACTGAAACACTGAGAAAAAACTAGAGACAGGAAAATCACAAGTTCAAGGCCATCCTCAGTTCTATAGGAGATACTACCGCCCCTCCCCACTACACACACACACACACACACACACACACACTCACATACCTCAGAGCAAAATGAGAAACCAGGGGTGGTGATTCAAGCCTGAATACCTGCTGCACTGTGAGTTTAAGGCATGCTGGGTCTACAGAGTAAGACTGGAGGGCTAAGTAGGCGAGGGAGCCTGTCTTGTAAAGAGCTCTCATTATTTGCTTTAATGATAGATATTTTGTGCATACATAAGCTCTATGTATATACAAATACAAAAGAGTGGCAAGTATATTATAAACATGCATTATAGTTAGTTAAGTTATCTATATAAATCTGTTGTCTGGCAAGAAGTTTTATTCCAACTATAGATTAGGTGTGTTAAGGATTTTCTCTGAGCACAAAGACTGGACTAACTGTGAAATTAGTCATTTTCCAGCTGTGTGTAGTGGGACATGCCCATTACCCCAGCCCTCAGGAGGCAGAGGCGGGTGGATTTCTGTGAGCTGAAGGCCAGCCTGGTCTACACAGCGAGTGCCAGGCCTTCCAGGGCTACGTCTTGAGACCCTGTTTCAAACAACAGCAGAAACAAAAACAGAGTCTGTTTTCTGTGTTCGGCTCCCTCCTAACCAGTGTGGAGATGCTGCAGATCTTCAAGTGCCTGCAGGAGCCAGAACCGGAACCGGAGCCGGAACCGGAACCCCTGTGGGAGCTCTCAGGCTGTTATGTTAAGTTTGTACCCCTTGATTAAAGTGCCAAATGTCTTCAAGGGGCTTCTAACTTAATACCAATAAAAACCTAAAGGAGAATGTGATAAATATCTTTAAACATCCAATAAAATTCTGTGAGATGATGGTGGATCTAGGACTTGAGAGAAGCAGGCAGGAGGATCAGGAGTTCAAAGCCAACATGAACTACTTGAAACCTCTCTCTCTCCCTCTCTTTCTCTCTCTCTGAAACCTTGGTTTTAAAAGAATAGTAATAAGGGCCTGGAGAGATGGCTCAGCGGCTAAGAGCACTGGCTTTTCTTCCACATTCAATCCCGTCACCCACATGGCAGCTCACAACAGTCTGTAACTCCTGTTCCAGGGGATCTCACACCCTCACAGACAAACATCCAGGCCAAACACCAATGCACATAAAATAAAAATAAATTAAAAACAAAACAAAATCAGAGGCTGGAGAAATGATTCGGCTGTAAGGACATGTGCTGTTCTTTCCGAGGAACTAAGTTCGGTTCCCAGCACCTGCAGCAGGAAGCTCACAATTGCCTTAGGTTCAGCTGCAGCTTGTGTACACAAACTCAGTTTTACTCACACTCACTGATGAGCGCGCACACACACATACACAAAACTTAGTGGGATGAGGCTGCTCTTCCGGACTGCTCAAATTCAATCCTCAGTGTACACACGGAGGCACACAAACGACTGTAACTCCAGTTACTGATCTGATATTACACATGCTCGTATCCTCTGAGCCATCGCTCCAATCTCCATGAAAACTCAGTGAATCATGAAAGCAAAACAGAAAAATAAGACTCAGGCTCTTAACTTGGTGATGCAGCATTTGGTTATCAAGTACAAGGTCCTGGCTCCTGCAGAGAGGGTGGGAGCGAAGGAAAATGAACTGGACATGAAGCTCAGCTGAATTCTTGCCTCACAGGCTTAGGATCCTGGTTTCCATCCACTCCACGACACCACACACCCCAGGCACACCTCCCACACAACACACAAAGAAAACTGAAAGTGACAGAAAGGTGTGACCCATTGTTTTCCCCACAGAAATCCTCCAAGGTCACTTGCTGCTCTCAGTGGATTAGCCTTGAAGAGGTGTCAGGAAGCGTGGGCTGAGGATAGTGAGGATGCAGACTGGGTACAGGGTTCCACTGACTCCCTCCTTCCACCTTGCTGCTGAATGAGGCGACACGAAGCGTTCTTCCCAGAGAAGCCCTAAGTGTAGAGGAAGAAGTGGCCTCCTAAGGAGAGTTTCTCCATGACGGACAATGGACACAGCAGTTTGGAAGGGATTCTGTGTCAGAGGTGGAGCTGGATTTCAGTTAAAGGCAGAATGGAATGAGGAAGACTGGGACAAATGCGGATGGGGGAAGGGAGCAGCCTGGTCAGGCGAGGCAGAATACCGCCATTTGCATTATTGTTATATTGTATTATATGTATTTGCACTGTTATCCTGGAAAGGGTCTCATTGTGCAGACCAGGGTGGCCTGGTCCTCTCAGAGATCCACCTGCTTCTGCTTCTTCAGTGTTGGGGTTAATCGAATGCACCCCCACACCTGGCAGAATACCATGCTCATTTGAAGAGAAGAGAAGAAAAGAGAGGGCGAAAGCAACTTTTGAGGGTGGATCTCTGGAAACTCAGGCTTCAGATCTTCCTGCCTCCAACTCATGGGTGCTGGGTTATTGATATGGATATAGATACCCCATCTGGTTTAGAAGCATATTTTAAATGCTAAGGGTGATTTATTATTAATCACCCTTACCAAATGCTGAGCAATTTAATATTTATTTTCTTATATTTTTTGTTTATTTTGAGGCAGGGTGTCATGTAGCCCAGGTTGGCCCCGATCTCCTTACTTCATTGTCCAGGGCCTGGAATTATTATGGAGGCTACCACAGTTGACTTAGAAGCACATATTGAATGATAAGTTTAATGAGAATTATTTATTTAATCATTCAATAGATAGGGTTTATGTAGCCCAGGCTAGTCCTGGCCCTCTTACCTTACCTCCTAAGTGCTAAGATTAAAGGTGTGTGCCACACAACACCTGGCTGACAAGAAAGCAACCTAAAAATCTTTTCATAGCCACTGTCTCTGAGAAGGGAAAACGGGCTGTAGGGTGGGGCGTGGGTGGGGCTTTTGCGCTTGTCATTGAGAAGTCTGTCTTAAGGGTGTGTGTGGTTCCAGAGTGGCTGCTCAGTGAAAACAGAGATAGGGCAATAGGAGGAAGTCAGCGGAATCCTGTACCCCGGCTGCATCCTCGTCAGCAGAATCCTGTACCCCGGCTGCATCCTCGTCAGTGGAATCCTGTACCCCGTCTGCATCCTCGTCAGTGGAATCCTGTACCCCGTCTGCATCCTCATCAGTGGGATCCTGTACCCCGTCTGCATCCTCATCAGTGGGATCCTGTACCCCGTCTGCATCCTCACGTTATCCTCAGCTCGCACTTCCTGAAGCCCCTTCTCCTGCCTTCCTGCAGGCTAATCCACTTAGAGCAGCAAGTGATGTTGGGGGATTTCTGTGGGGAAAACAATATACATCAAGGCAATGTGCTGCACGCAGCACGTTTAACTGAGTGGGTCTTCAAGGCTCGGAGTTGTGCAGGGGGTCAGTGAAGCACAGTAGGAAGTGACAAACTGAGAGGAATAAAGATGTCGGGCATGCTATTAGCCGAGCTAGGTGTCGCCGCCAAGGGTTGGATCTGCAATATTTCTGGGATCAGTTTGTTTACCCTATCAAGCCCTTTGTGTTCTTCCTGGATCCTGAGTCAAATGACCGCAAATGATTTCGTCTAAAGCATGCAGAGAATGTGAAGAAATCAAAGTCTCCCTGTGATAGGGGCTACCTGTCCAGAAAGGCGCTCTTTACCCAATAGTCAGCATGTTTTTATTACAAGATATAAAGGCATTGGGACAGCTTAGGTCCCTGAGAATTGCCCTCAAATCGAAGTTGGGACTTGCGATAGGTACTGGCTGAGCAGGACCTTGGGAAGTTATCTTAATATTTATCTTACATAGGCTCTTATAATAATTAGTGGATTCCAACAGGTGACGTTTGTGTACTTGATGTAGGGCTGGTGTAAACACCGAGAAAATGGATGCTGTAACATGAGCAGGCTATAGAGCCACCAGCCACTTTCAGAAAGGTCCTTGCTATTAGGAGGCTTATATTGCTTTTATTCAAATTTCCCCAGGTTTGTAAACTTGGCTTCCGGGTCAAACTTTCCCTTAACTTTGACAAGTCAAATTGCGCTAGTTTATCAAGCTTACTTATTTACAACCCTGATTTTTATAATAGGGCCTTTGTGCAGAAAGCCAAGATGAAGGGTGGCTAACTAAGGACTTGTGTTTGCATTTTGGGGGGCATCTTCTTTGTGTATACAGGGATCCTTTTGCTACTGTGAAAAGCGCCCCATTTGTCTTTGTTATTTATGGAGGAATGCTGGAGGGGGGGGGTGATCTGCAATTCCTCCAGTCCTAAAGGCATTTTACTGCTGTCTTACAAGGTGAGGCTGATCAACACACACCAAAGGCCACTTTAACATATCAAATCCTTCCGCAGCCCATTTCAGTCACCGGTCCTTAGCTTTGGAGAAGCCTCCTACCTACTTTCCTAGGTTCCTCTACCAGACGTGCCTTCCAGAACTCTGATGGGAAAGAGTACTAATGCGTCACAGATCCGAGCACAGAAACCTTGGCTTTCTGTCTCCTCCTCTGATAAATGTTTATTACTGACTTGCTCTTTCTTCGTTTCCTCTCCAGGGCTTTCACCGGGTTTGAAAAGCATGTATTAAACAATAGACATAGCAACCATTCTTTACGCCAGATGAATAGGCCCATAAAAGCTACAGTCTACAGACCAACTGAATAAGCTAATTTAGCAAATGTCTGTGTGCCTTACCCAGCTGGGGGTATCGCTGAGGTAGGCTTTTTTTTTTTCCCCTTAAGACTACTTTAAATGAACCAAAAAGCTAAAGTTAATTACAAATGAGTGTCAAAATATCTTTCTTCCGTCCTTCCTTCCTGCCTGCCTTCCTTCCTTCCTGCCTGCCTTCCTTCCTTCCATCTGTCCTTTCTTTCTTTCCTTCTTTCTTTTTGTCTGAAATGATTTAAACTTGGGCAGCATTGGAGACTAACTGAGCTATAGTGTTCATGGAGGTGTGCTGGAAAAGTCATTGGCCTTTTGGTGAGTGTGAGAAACGCAACGGGAATGGGCAAAGTTCGACTCGGGACTTATCCTTAAAACTACAACCATCAAGACCAGCTCTGTGAAGGAGGCTGGAAAGCTTTCTTGCTGCTGATGCTATTAAGTTGATTTTACACAATCAAGCTTGAAGCATTGCGGCTGCTCTGTCATTGTTAACGGGTTGGGTTAAAATGTCCAAATGCTTCCAAGCCCCCACTGATCTAATAAGAAGCCTGCACTAGGAGCTTCCAGTGTTTCCTAAATACACATTTAAAGATCCTTTTAGGATTGCATTATCCCAGTGCTAGCTTTTCTAAATTGTTAAAATGTTCAAACACACGCAATGCATTAGCCTCATAACCACTCAGACTCAGCAACCATGAGCATCTTCCCATTAACCGTCCCGTTGTCTTCCTGAACTACAAGAGTGGTTTCCAGAGGCCACATGCTCTCGTTCTTGCATGCACAACGTGTCTCTCAAACATTTGCATCCCTGTGAATCACGATCCCATTACAGACTAGGACTAAAGGGCTACCTACCTTAGGGGAAGGGCACTCGGGCATGGAGTGAAACGCATCTCCTCCGGAAGCAGTGGTGTCTGTGTAATTTTCTTTTCCTGGGGAAATTAACTGAAGGAAAGAGAAATAAGAACAATTTTAAAAACACACACAAACAAAGATCTGCTCTGTGGTTATGTACATATGAGGTTAAGCTGTAAACAGATTATTGGGGTGCACATACACACTGGTAATCCCTGACACCCTGGGTTAGAGGGAAGATCTCTATGGGGACATCCTCCTGGCATAGTTTTTCCACAGCGTCCTTGGACTTCTCATCTTATTTAGGAAACTCATGTCCAGGACAGTCTGTGTTTTAGAAAACTAGAAATCAAATTTTTGTATTAGGGATTGAGTAGCAATTGCTACTGGCAGGACAAAAGGACCGGCTACCTTGTAACTTTTGCCTTATGTATGTAAAAGAGTTGACGTGGGGGAGGTGTCTTCATTTGAATAACCTCGGAGAAACCAGAGTTCTAATTCAAAGGCAGTAATTCAAAGGCAGTATCTGACTTTTCAGCCCAGGGCGCACCGAATTCCATCTAGCCAATCAGCTCTGTGGTAACAGCCGTGCGTGTGACTATTGTCATCTTTCTGATGAAACTTGAGGCTACGGCTTTATGTGTCAGAAAACTTATAACAGATACTTTCCTTGAAAAAAAAAAATGAAGGCATCTGGACCGCACACACCCTTTACGTCTTCTCCTTCCTGAAGTTTGTCATGATAAAGACGCAGAGGCGGCAGCCAGCGGGCCAGTTGATCAGCTCACATGGTTGCATCCTGATTTTACACAGCACCAACACAATTCATATTGCCCGCCTCCAATCAACATGCATGCTCTCTTAATACCCTGATTTGGACCTGCCTTTTACCTAAATCTAGGTTTATTAATAGACCAGCATTCTCAGTTCTTTGTGCTTGTAAGGACAGCATACAATAGTTTCAAGACTGATTTTCTTAGAAAAATTGTAAAATATATATCAATATTTTAAAAGGGAGCTACTTAGAAAAAAATGCCCAAATTGTATCTCCCTTCCCCCGCCCTCCCCATGAGAATAACTAACGTGGTTCAGAAATTCTTAGTTATTTCCCCCAGTACTTTTAATTGCTAGTGCACCTAAATCATTCTCATTATAAATAGGCGGCTTAGAGACCCAGAAGTACAAACAGGCAAACAAACAAGCTCCCCAGGCCAATGGTTTCAAAGACCTACCTGGCTTCTGTTCGGTGATAAAAAGAAGACTCATTGCAAAGATAAAAAATACCAAAAAATAATGCTGAAATCTCATTTTTTTTCTTCCTTTTTTTTTTCCTTACACACAAGTGAACAATAGCTCTCCAAGTAAAGAAGCAGTCTGTAAATACTCTGAGCAGTATCTGTCCGGCTCACCCCGCATCCTACAGCCAGACTTCAGAGGGCTGCCAGCGGCTTTTTCCAGAGGAGGTTAATGATCACATCAGACAAGGTTACTGGTGCCCTGGGCTGTGGTCGGAGCTCCCGAGCCTCAAGCCCCTCCTCCGTTCCTCTCCGCTTCGCCCGTCACTCCCCTTTATTTCCATAAGCAAATATTGGTGAAGTGGACCATTCAGGCCTGCAGCAACTTCGGTGGGAAGTCTCCCCCGCGAAAGCTCCAAGGAGAGCGACTCCGAGTCAATCTGTTTACGAAGGAAAATGTAAAACAAGGCACGGCCGGCCTCTTCTCTGCATTTGCATCTGTTTAAACTTTGCATTGCCCATATTGGTCCCACATGCAGAAACCGGTGGAAATGACAGGAAGTTTCTCTTTTGTCCTCTCGCAGAAGGAATGCAGAGCTTTCATTTAAGATTCCCAAATGCTTGGTGCCAACTCTGTTGTAGCGCTTTCTCTTTGCCAAGCCTACTACAAAGTGGTGCCTATTTATATTAAACCTCCAAATGGCTTAATTTGTGTGGGTTTCCATCATCAGAGAGTCCCGGAGTTTAGAGTGTTCAGAAGGAAATCTGCGAAATGTTTATCTTTTTATTTAAGTGCAATTTAAAGAGTAATGGAGATCATTTTCATCTGAAGACATCTAAGAGTTTTCAGAAGTTCAGGCAAGCAGGGCCCAGACACAGAATCAGTCTCTGTTGTAAATGTGTGCGTGGTGGAGTGTCAGGTAACCACAGGCACACAGACCATATTATAGATGGAGAGAATTTCTAGTTCATCTCCAAAGAAACAAAAGGAGTCTAGTTTTGTCTTGCACACATACCAAGAGCTCCTGTTTAAGGGCTTTCTTACCTGTAATAAAAAGCTCTTATATGTGAGAATTATTGTAATTATTTTAAGCCAGAAGGACACGTAGTTCTACTCTGAAATATAAACAGACCCAAGATATTAAATCTAGAGTGCATGTGAGTGGTTGTGAACTCTTATATTTTGTTATATTTGTTATATTTGGTGTCTTTAGAGTCAGGTGGTGGGCACATACAACCTTGGGCTTCTTAAGGTTTGGAATTCATGTGCAATTTGTTTTGATTTTACAAATCAATCTGTAAAATTCCATCTCTGCCTAGTTATGCATTGCAGTTTATACAGAATGTTTTCTAAAACTCTTTAAAACAATTTTTTTTAGAAATTATTTAAGGCCCACTCTGTCGGAAGGCAGAGGCAGGCAAATCTCTGTGAGTTCTAGGACAGTCTGGTCTACATACTGAGTTCCAGTACATCCAGGGCTACACAGCAGAGAGACTACATTAATAATAATAATAATGGTATTTAGTATGTATGGGTGTTTTGTCTGCAGGTATGTCTGTGCACCATGTATGTGCAGTGCCCACAGAGGCCAGAAGAGGGCATCAGATCTCCTGGAGCTGGAGTTACCGACAGTAGTGAGCCCTGGAATGAACCCAGGTTCTCTGCCAGAGTAGAACCTGCTCTCAGTTGCTGAGCCATCTCTCCAGACTTGTTTTATGATTTTTGGCTTTGTTTTCTTTTAAGAATTTTTAATCCAGGAGCGGTGGTGATGCATGCCTTTAATCCCAGCATTTGGGATGCAGAGGAAGGTGGATCTCTGAGTTGGAGGCCAGTCAGGTCTAGAGAGTAAGTTCCAGGACAGGACAGCCAGGGATATGCAAAAAAAACTTTGTCTCAAAAAGCAAAACAACAACAAAACATTCTTTGAATGTATGCTGTGTGTATGTTTGCCCAAGGAGGGCAGAAGAGGACGTTGGATAACCTGGAGTTCAAGTTACAGGCAATTGTGAGCCCCAATACTGGTGCTGAGAACCCAGTTCAGGCCTTCTGAAAAAGAAGCAAGGGCTCTTAAGTACTGAACTGAGTCTTCCACCCGAGTACGCAGTCTTTTTGTGAATGAGATAATGATCTAATCCAGACATCAAACATTGATTTGAAAATAACTCCCAGGTGGGGTGGCATTCACCGTTAATCCCCATAGTTAGGAGACAGAGTGCAGGCAGGTTTCTCTGAGTTTAAAGCCTTTCTGGCCTACACAGGGAGTTTAAGGCCAGCTTGGATTGCAGGAGACCCTGTTCTTACTGGAGAACCTGGGGTTCCCCTTCATGAATTCTTAACCTGGATCAATAAAAGAGTTTTTAAAACAGAATTGAAAGGAAGGTAGGGTTTCTCTGTGGTTTTGGAGCCTGTCCTGGAACTAGCTCTTGTAGTCCAGGCTGGCCTCGAACTCACAGAGATCCGCCTGCCTCTGCCTCCCGAGTGCTGGGATTAAAGGTGTGCGCCACCACTGCCAGGCTCAGGATAGTTTTATTAGAGTTTGATGGATGAAAAGGACAGGGAACGCCAGATGTAAATCTTGGCAGCTGCCCAGACGAGAAAGACGAAGAGGAAGAGAGGAAGCCATGACTCTTGTGTGTGGCCTCACAGTGGATGATGGCAGCAGCTTCAGAGAAAGCAGAAAAGCCTAGAGAGCCACAGAGAGCGTGTACAGGTTTGGGAATGTGTTAGAAAAAAAAAAAAAGAATAGGTGAAGAAAAAGGGAAAGTTAGACTTTTCTGAGTTCAAGGCCAGAGTGAGCAGCTCAGAACGGAGGATGGTGGCAGTACAAGCGCTGGCCTGGTTATCTCCCATATTGAGCTAATTCGCAGCAGGACGGTAGGGGCACACTTTTTAATCCTTACACTTGGATGGCAGAGGCAGGCAGATCTCTGAGTTTGAGGCTAGCCTGATCTACAGAGTGAGTTCCACCTGTCTCAAAAAGCCAAAAGGAAAAAGGAAAAGTTGTGTCTCACCACACCTGGCTTCAACAGTTATTTTTACAAGTACGGTGACAAACGATTACAGAGCTGATGACAACCGAAATGCCAGGCACAGAAACACCAGGCACGGAAAGGCCAGGCACCGAGCAACAGTGCCATCTGGTTAGCGTTTCTGTGAACGTGAGGCAGCAGTCACGGTCAATCATTCATCTTGGCACTAAAGAAGGAGGTGTGGAGAAATCTTGGCCAGAAGCAGACTCAGAATGATGCAAGCGGCTCTACAGAGAACACCCAGCATGCCGCTGAGTGAAATGATAATTTAGTCCCAGCACTCCGGAGGGAGGAGTTCAAGGCCATTCTGGACTACTTAGGAGTTCTGAGATAGCCAGAGCTACTTATAGATCCTGTCTCAGACAAAAAAAAAAAAAAAAAGGAAGATATCCAAACTGTCTTCTCAGTTCTCATCTCCTCATTGCTTCGTGCAGCTCTTGCCCGTCGTCAGAGAATATCAGCGAAGTTTCCTTCGCAATGGACTATGGTAGTTAGTACAGAGTTGCCGCCGGCCAAAGGATAGAGAATAAGACTATGGTGTGCTGGGCCCTAAATGGGACATGAGTGTCACACCCAACCCTGAGACTCAGGGAATGTGGTACGAGAGGACTGGGAAGATCGTAAGAGCCAGAGGTTGGGGGAGAGGCTGCAAAATGGCGTCTTCTGGACATAACCTGGCTGATAAGCTTATGAACTCACTGCAACTGTGGTCATCCGCATAAGACCTGCTGAAGATGACATCCACTATCATTTCATCAGGAGAGGGGGGAGGGACTTCTGGGGCCCCACCCCTCCCTGAGGGACCATTATCAGTTACTGGGGAAAGGAGCACCCCTATTCCTCAGTGGTCTAGTCACTTAGAAGTTGTCCATGCTCCGGCAAAGAAACCCTCGCCCATCTCACACAGCAACCCAGTTAAACTCAGTGGTCACACACAAAGGCACAAAAGGGGGGAGGGCTGGAAAGGGAAGAAATGTTTCCATGGGAGGAGGGAATAAGACAAGTCAGTGGTGGCAAAAAAGGACTAAAATTCACTATATACTTGTATGATAACATCAAAGAGTAACTTTTCCCTTCTTTTGTTGTGTGTTTTATGTTTTGTTTTTTTGAGACAGGGTTTCTTTGGTACCCTTGGGTGCCCTAGAACTAGCTCTGTAGACCAGGCTGGCCTCGAACTCCCAGAGATCCGCCTGCCTCTGCCTCCTGAGTGCTGGGATTAAAGGCATGCGCCACCACTGCCTGGCTAATGAGTATTTTTAAAAAAGATATGCTAACAACGTATTTCTTAAACAAAGTTCAGTAGAATCCCTTCAAAATTAATTTCAGCCTGGAACTCAGGGTGCCGTGGGTTGAATAAGAATGGCCTCCATAGACTCTTGCGTTTGAATACTTGGTCACCAGGGAATGGCACTATCAGGAAGTGTGGCCTTCTTGGAGGAAGTGTGTCACCCAAGCCAAGTCCAGTGTCTGTCTCTTCTTGCTGCCAGCCTGTCAGGATGTAGAATTCTCCGCTCCTTATCCGGCATCATGTCTGCCTGTGTCCTGTCATGCTTCCTGTAATGACAATAATGGACTAAACCTCTGGATTTGTCAGCAAGCCTCTATTAAATGCTTTTCTTATAAGAGTTGCTGTGGTCATGATGTCTCTTCACAGCAGTGACCCCTAACTAGGATCCAGAGGTGACCCTGTGTGGAAATGAGGTCATTGCTTGTTTTGGTGGTACTGGGGATTGAACACAGGGCCTTGTACATGTTAAGCAACCAACCTATCACTTAGCTATATCCCCACGAGATCCTTGCAAGTGTAATTAACATTGAAGCCACACTACTGTAGCGTGACTGTAGCGCCAGCGCTATGGGACGGTTCGCGAGCTGGCCAAGGGCCTGGAGATTAAGCAACACAAGAGGCGTGGGTCATCCGTGAAGAGAGAATGCAGAATGCTGTTTATTCAAGCTTAGAGAAGGCCTTATATACCTAATTGCTGCACAGTGGAAATCCCCCAGGCACGTGGAAAATTACCAGGCTCAAGACAGGGAAAACAACTCCCCTGTAGCTAACCACCAGGGCGTGCAGAGCGAACACCAGAACAATCAAGATGTTTTGCCAGAAACTTCAAGCTATCTTCAATATGAACGCTGGGAGGAGGGGTAGACCTATGGGCCCTACAGGTGACTACTAAATCAGGCATGATATCTGTTCTATAGGGAAAAGAGGATAGTTAGATGTGCGGGCATATGCCTTTCATCTCACCACTCAGGAGGCAGAGGCAGGAAGATCTCTGTGAGTTTGAAGCCAGTCTGATGTGCAGACATCGTGAATTTCAGGACAGCTAGGGCTACATAGTGAGAGATGTTTGTTGTGGAAAACCCTGCAGAGTTGAAGAAACAGTTGGAGGAAAAGGAGGAAGAAGAGGAGGAAGAGGAGGAGGAGGAAACAATACTCAATGGC